TCGACAACATGGCGTCCAATCGCCCACTTAGACGCCTCATTATTGTTTCGTTTGTGGTAAATATTGCGGTCGTCTCATCCGGCTTACGTCTGTGAGCCCTTTGGTGCGTTGTTCTGCGTCTATTTCTTGTACATTATATCTTAATGCATTACGTTATGCCATTGGTGATGTATTATACGTTCACTAAGAAGTAAACAGGTCTATTAGCTGATATCACTTCTACTGCCTAGAGTACAGATTAACCATTCATGTATCGTTTTTTTATTGTCGGTGGGTAGCAATGATAAAACGTATTATGGTTTTCACCCGAGCACTATATACAAACGGATTGTACGCCAGAGGAAGACGTATGATGCTGAGATGGGGGCACGCTCCGTTCTCCTAATCTCGTCGGTGGCTAATCAATCACCAGAATTGGAAATGCCAGAACTAGGCCGGAATTTCTATGAGTATAGGCAGTGACCTTGAAGATCATATTAATGCAAAGTAGGTTTGGCATAGTTACACTCAATATATATTTGTAGACATTAAAATGTTTTCGGATCGAAGCACAGCATATCTTTAAATGAGTTATTACGGTTAAGTGCGAAACAGCTGTTTAAGCTGACACTAGATGCCTTCAGAAAAAGGCGTGGCAAGGATGCATCGTCCAATGATAATGAGCAAGGTTCAAACTATTACGGCCTTCACTTTATTTTCTCACATAAAGTGGTTACTTCCGGTTGGATTTGCTACTAGATAGTGGGAAAGAAAAGTAGAGCCACAAAAATTTTACAAGGCTGGCTTTAAGAAATGATTTCATGTGAGTGGTCTTTTGTTAAATATTATACCATCAAGCCTTCTATGAAAATCATATATGGTGTCGGCGACAACCATTTCGCTTGGTAGTGAGCTCCAAGGTTGTTCAACTCGTTGGCTGGAGAAATCTATATGAGATCCATTCACGAGCGCTCGTTTGTTACCTTGCAGGGATAACCGCGCAGGTGAGTTTTGCAGGCAAAGTCAGAGAAATCATCCCGTCTTAGAGGGGAGCCATTGCCACGAATAATCTAAAATGTCCAGAGCTGACTATACCGTATGTGCCTGTGAGACGGGGTAAATAAGTCAAGCTTTTTCAACCTCTCCGGGTACGGTAAACCCTTTAGACCGTCGAATATTTTCGTTATCCTTCGGTGCACCACTTCTAGGAGCTGAAGGTCTTTCTTTATCCACGGTGTCCAAACTGACATTCCATGACCTAAATGTGGTCTCACAAAGAAGTTGAAGATTTTCCCGAAGAGATCAAGATGCAACATTTTAAATGCACGTCTGATTTAGTGCAACGTTTTAGTTGCATTCTTGATCACTTTCTTGCACTTTTCTGATGGCAGTAAGTTGGCGGTTGCTCACACGGATCTATGTTCATTTCCATCTCTTTTTATAGAGTGTGCTCAATAAAATGCTTGTTTTTCTGAGATATTTTGTGGCCGGCTTTTGTGTTTAAGGCCACACATTTGGGTGCATTAAACGCCTTTAACCACCCGGTCGACCAGACAATCGGTTTGTCCATATTCGAGTTCAAACTTTTTGCGTCGTCAGCGCGGCTGACTTCAGCTAAACATGGCAGCTTCACATTGTAAATAATTGGGGCGATCATTCATTTAGATTAGGAACAACAGGAACCCAAAACAGAGCCCTGAGGGAATGCCTTCTCCTGTTGCTCCTGTGTATGCGAGTATCATCACTGTTGTGTGCGTGTCCGTGTTTAAAAGTGTCTAACCGCAGCCAAAAAGTCTTAGTAGGCAATAGCTTCTCCACGCCCCAGCCGGTCATGAATGGCGTTTCTCAAAGCACGGTTTTAGGTACCCTGCTTTTCATTCTTTACAAAAATTTCACTAGTACTCAATAACTCGGAAAATTTCATTTATGCCGATGACTTTAAGTGCGTTTACTCATTTTCTAAGGACATGGCGAGTAGTTGTGTTAATAAAGTCAGCGCAGACTTGCGTACGCTCTCACGCTGGAGCACCACCATGCCGCTATATTATTTGTTCCCACGGCAGTAAGCGTCCCAAACCCTCGACACCAGGATCTTGTAGCGGCCTCTTATTCTAAGTCATGCTTTGCTCACATGCCTGTGGGGCATGTCCCGAGTGACTAGCTTTCGTGCCTACCATTCCGTGCGCGCTAGATAGTCAAACCTCCGATAAAGGCCACGGACTTGTCTGGCCAACTGGCCAACCACTTCCCAAGGCCAAGTCACAAA